ATGAAAATAATTGAAGACAAAATGAGTTTTACTGAGAAAAAAACAAGAATTGTTTTTTAAAAAGCCTTTTTCCAAAAGGTACATCTGGAAAAAGGGGGGTCGTCTTATAATCAGGGTCGTCTTATATTCGCGCCAATACGGCAGTTTTTTGTGAATTTCACAAACAACATTTTGTTAAGGACGTTTTTGAATTTTGAAAGATTCATCTTTGCACTGGATGGTCTGATTAACAACTGTATGAAGAATATAATGAAGAATGGTTTGCGAATCATATACTTCGCAAACTTGCGTTCTCTTTTTTTCGCACTCGATTTCAGGCTCTTTTTGTACCGTTTGCACCGACTAAACTGTCTTTACGATGTTGAAACCTGTAAAATCGATGGGGTAGAGGCTGTTTCTCCAACTCTGAGCTCATTTCTCCTGGTTTCTCCTGGTCTTCCTGTAGTTCCATGTTATAAAGTTCTGAGCAGATAAACAGGTTTCTTGGCGTCTGTCCTACAAAAGCGTCTAATGAGCAGCTAATGAATACTAACAAGTGCTAATTGGCTTAGAGGCAGAGAGAACCGTCACCATGGGTCGTCTAGGGTCAGTGCGGGTTGGTAGGTTGTGTTAGTGGTTTGATTAGATTAGATCTCTCTTTATGAACACTGCTGCTAACTAGCAGCTTGTCAGTGTGAGTTACCCTCGCTAATAAACTCGTTAACCACACGCCTTTAAGGAAGTGACATCAGACTTGCTTCCAATCCCATGATCCTCTGCTTTTACAGGTCTGACCTGAGTTTGGCTTTTTATAAGAGGTCAAAAGTCAGCTGCCTTTGACATCGTTGGGGTCAAAAGGTCATTTGAGCGTTCAGCAAGGTCAGAATGGAATACTAGCGTACTGCATACTACAATTACATGAAACGGTATTTTGCATTCAAAATTAAACACAGAGTGGAATGTTCTTACTACATACTGCAGGAATAGCATGCGTAGTGTAGTGGTGACCTTTGACCCTGCACAAAAAGGCTTGGCGCTGCCGTATGTAAATTCTGCGGCAGATTAAAGGAGATCTGCTGTGTTTGAACACACTTATATAACGCTCAGCTGACCAATCACAGCGCGGGACCCCGCTGAGCCTCCAGTCACAGAGAGATGCTGTGTGATCGGCTGTTTGTAGGAGAAAGTTGTTTATTTAGTTTTATTCTTATTACTTTAGTTTAGAAAATGTGCTAATTATAATGACTGTAGACTAACCCTAATATAAAACTTGTGGATATTTTATTTTATTTTATTACTTTAGTTTTGTTTTGTTTATGTTTTGCTGTAAGGTAAATTATAGTGAATGCAGACTAAGCTTAAACCTGTGGCTATTATTTTATTTTATTTTTTACATTTGTATTTTTTTTAGTTTTATTTTAAAGTGAATTATAATTACCAAACTCTAAAACACTTGTACTCCTATTTTATTTTATTATTTTATTATTTTGATTATTTTATTATTATTATTATTATTATTATTTATTTATTTATTTTTATTATTTTAATTACTTTAGTTTTGTTTACATTTGCTGTAAAGCAAATTGTAATGAATGTAGACTAACCCTAAAAAAAAAAATCGAAATATATATATTATATTTATGGTGCACAATGTGGGGAATTGTTCTCAGCTTCAGAACAATAAACATGTTTTAGACCAAGCAGTTACTACTGTCAATGTAATCAATGCATCAGAGCTAGCTTGTGATCATGAAGACAAAATTATATATTTTTGGATGTTAAAACGTTCTCCAAACTTGTAGGACTCAAACACACTACTGTGTTGTTTGTTTATGGGCAGGTCTTAGTGTCACACTTCATAGACTGAGTTTGTGTGTGAAAGCGTGTGAAGCTCCAGTGAGAGGCAGATCCTGCAGCCTGCAGCCGCTCCAGTGACGGGCCTCGCTGACCTCTGCTCCTCATTCTCAGAGTTTCACTGGGTGTTTCTGGGAACTGATACTGAGAAATTCACTCACAGAGGTTTCATCTGTCTGAGCAGTGTGTGAGAGAGAGTGTGTGTGTGTGTGTGTGAGAGTGTGTGTGTGAGAGTGAGTGTGAGAGTGAGAGTGTGTGTGTGTCTGTGTGTCAGAGGTCTAAAGACAGCAGCGTCTCTGTCAGTCTGGGAACATTTGGCTTTGCTTCGGTTTGGCTGCAGACGTCTCATGTCTGTATAGCTGGTGTGTGTTAGTTCCCAGAATGCTGTGCGTCGTTCAGTCAGTCGGGGGTGGGCGTTCCGCAGGGCTCCGGTGTCTTCTGAACACCATACAGCTGTCAAATCAGTGTTATGTTATCGCAACTGTTCCTCGAATACACACACACACACACACACACACACACACTCACAGACACAATACAAAAGATATGAAAGCTCATTTTGGTATAATACTAATTTAATATTAATATAAAATTTTATTGAGCTAATAATAGTATTATGCATAATTTTGTTTATAATATTAATATTTTCGGTATTTCTTTTATATTCTGTATTTTCTGTTTTCCCCTTTTCTGGATTCCATTTTAATGATTTAATTAAATATTTTAATGATCAAAAAGCGTGTCTAATCAATTGAAGTCATAAAACTTTAACAATTTATTTATTTATTAGAATTTATGTACATATAATTATTTCTATAAATTAACTATATATGCAATATTAATATATTTAAAATTATATATATATATATATATAATTTATAATTATTATAGTCTATATCAGTGGGCGATATAGCAAAAATATATCAAATATTTTTTTCAGGAAAATCACAATTCACGATTTTATCATGATTCTTTGTCATGTTGGTTTTACTATTTTGCAACAGTGGGTGAAGATAACAATCTTTGTCATTATTTTTATGTTTGTTATTAAAAAATAAGAACAAAGATACACATTAAAATACACATAATATACAAATAAAACAAACAGTGCTTTAGTTTTCAGGTCCAGTTGGTGTATTTAGCAGTAGCATTCAAGAAACTAAATGAAAAATATAAAAATAAAACACTAAATTATACATTGATTCTTATTAAAGCAACTGTATTAAAGTTCTTCAGTCAAGAGCAGTGAGTGATTTTTCTCTTTGTATGTTGATGTTTATTAACATATAGTTCACCCAAAAATGTAAAGTTCTTCAGTCAAGAGCAGTGAGTGATTTTTCTCTTTGTGTGTTGATGTTTATTAACATATAGTTCACCCAAAAATTAATTACTCAATGAAAAATTACTCACTCGTTTACTCAAGTTGTTTAAACCTGAATGAGTTTCTTTCTTCTGTTGAACATAAGTTGTTGGTCTCCAGTGACTTGCATAGTGTTTTTTCCCTTACTATTAAAGTCAATGGGGACCAGCAGGTGTTTGGTTACCCACATTCTTCAAAATATCTTCTTTTGTGTTCAGCATAAATTAATACAGGTTTGGGACAACATGAGAGTGAGTCAATAATGGGTGAACTGTCCCTTTAATGACAAGCGACAGCATGTTTAGTACTATTAGTCTGCTGTCACTTTAAGAGCTGCCAGTAATCAGGCGCTGTTTGACAGGCTTTTTAGTGTCAGAACAGCACACGAATGAACTGTTTAACCGGCAAAACTTTAAAGCACATGCAAATAATGTACTTTTGTGATTGTGAATAAGTGCAGTGTGCCGTGAGTGTATTCGATTTTATTAATATTTAAAATTGTTTAATTTTTATGGTAATTTTTTGTTGTTTTTGTAATTTTTAATTAGTTTTTGTTGTTTATAAATATGTCTATATAGTTTTTATTCATTTTTATTTTAGTTTTAATTTGAGTTATTTTTGTACATAAAGTTAAACTACTGTTGAGCAGATTCATAAACCGCTCTGATTGGTCATTGTGTTCACGCGCTCAACCGATATGTTGAGGTGTTTAAGAATCCGCTCAAAATGCTAGCGGGAAATGCTGGTATTGTCACTTTTTTTTTTAAATTTCAGTACAGACTGGTACCAAAGTCGGTACTTTTGACAACCCTATTGTCCAGTTATAATTGGAATTTGTTCATTTTGTCTACTTTTGTGTTTCTCAGGTGCTGTTATGACTGCGGCGGCTCATGAGCGTGTTTGAATTTCTGGAGATGGACGGAAGAGACTCTGCCTTTCTGGCCGTGAGGAGCAGATTACCCAGAGATCCCAGTGTGGTGGGCGGAGTCTGTATGGGGAATGAAGACTCCTCCCCCTGCAGTAGCCAGGGGGAGGGGCCGGATGACAAGCAGCTGGAGGATGCGCTGTGTGAGCTGGGAGCGGGGGCGGAGCTTAACCTGGAGCTGGACTTGAGGGTGGAGCCTGAGGACGGCATGGACCTGCAGGGGGAGGAGCTTAGCTGGGAGGCGAACGAGCCGGAAGAGCAGAGCAACACGAGCCGCAGCACAGCCAGTCCTGAAGCCTCCACAGGTGATTGGATGGTAGCCGATGATTCGTTCCGCTCACTTGTATACATTTTTGCATTTGTTTAGAAGACGTCTGAAGTGTTTGATTCTCGTATAGATCTCTTCAAAGCGTCGTCTCTGTCGGAGCAGCTCCTGCAGGGCCGTGAGGAGGGGGCGGGGCTAAACATGGAGTGTCGTATCTGTGGCGACAGAGCGTCAGGATTCCACTACGGCGTTCATGCCTGTGAGGGATGCAAGGTCAGAGGTCATGCTCACAAAAAACACAAGCAGAATGCATGTTTCCGAAAATACTTCTTGAGTAAAATGAATATGAATAAACATTTACGGGAACTGTGCCTCAATTTCTCTCAGGGATTTTTCCGGAGGACCATTCGTATGAAGTTGGAATATGACAAATGCGAGCGCAGCTGTAAGATCCAAAAGAAAAGTCGGAATAAATGTCAGTTCTGTCGTTTTCAGAAGTGTCTGTTGCTCGGGATGTCCCATGACGGTGAGCGAAACGACAGCGGAAATTAGCGAACAGTAAAACAAACGTGACTTTCTAGTGTGTTGAATGTGATTCTGTGTTTGTAGCGATCCGATACGGGCGGATGCCGGAGGCAGAGAAGCGTAAGCTAGTCGCGGGTCTGTTAGCGGGAGAAAAGAGCTCTCCGAACTCCAGCGGGTCAGATCTGAAATCTCTCGCCAAACGGGTCAACAACGCCTACCTGAAGAATCTGAACATGACCAAGAAGAAAGCTCGCAACATCCTGACGGGGAAGACCAACGCAAGCCCGGTAACCCGCTCAAGAAATGTCAGAAGTAAATAAATGCAAATAAACAAACTTGCGAAAACGAAACGTTTTTTTCTCTGTGTGTCCTTCAGCCATTTGTCATTCATGACATGGACTCGCTGTGGCAGGCGGAAAACGGTCTGGTCTGGAATCAGGTGATTAACGGAGCTCCACCCAATAAGGAGATTGGCGTGCACGTGTTTTACCGCTGTCAGTGCACGACCGTGGAAACCGTACGAGAACTCACGGAGTTCTCCAAAAGCATCCCCGGATTCATCGACCTTTTCTTGAATGACCAGGTAATGAAATCGAGGGGTGTTTTATCTCTTATGTTGCGTGAAAAGTACAGGATTTTCCAGGAATAAAACAAAATTAAGCGCAGTTAATGCAAATAACTACATATTTCGTAAATCCATTATTGCGCAAATTGTTGCATTCAATTAAATTGAAAAAGCAGAACTAATTTTTGTGCAGCTCAATCATGAAGTCAAGTAAAAAATGTAGCATTCAACTTTATATTTTATGAAACTTGCGAACGAATTGCATTGAAATTGTGTGTAAAGTGATTCAAGTCAAGTCAACATATGCAGAATTTAAAATGCATGCTGTATCCCACAACGTAGATCTATTGTGAAATATTTCTGGTGTTGTTGCAAGAATTTCCCAAAAACCAAGCATTTTTTTGTAAACAGTTCATAAAACCTTTGATAAATAAATTGTTGCATTTAATGCAACGCATGAAAAACTAGTAGATCACGTGTATGTAGATAAAATTATTCTCAGGTAAAATGTACTATTGAATTAGTTTAATTAAAAAAAATTGTTCGTAAAGTCATTAAGTCAGGTTGTTGCATTTATTGCAATTCATAAAAATGCATTTCTCTGTAAATCAATAATAAAATGTTGCATGCACAAGATGTTGCATTGAATTTGATTCACAAAGTACAATCAGAATAAATTTCTGTGTAAAATGTTCATTAAAAAAAGTTCTTGAGTAAATTGTTGCATTTAATGCAACGCACATTTATGGATGCATTTATGTGTATATCAATCCTAAAATAATTCTCATGTAAATTGTAAAATTTGAATTAGTTTAATGAAACATGGGCAGAACAACTTTCTTTGTTCAGTCATTCTTGCATACATCGTTGCATTTAATGTTGTTTGTCTCATGACACACAAGCAGAACGTATATTTATTTTTCTAAATAGTTCAGAAAACCCTTCTTGAATAAATCGTTGCATTCAGCTTAATGAAATGAAAAACCACACAATTTACGCAAGAATTGGCTCAACTAGCTCCCCACCCTGCAGGTGACGCTGCTGAAGTACGGGGTCCACGAGGCGATCTTCGCCATGCTGCCGTCGCTCATGAATAAGGACGGGCTGCTGGTGGCGAATGGGCGGGGCTTTGTGACGAGAGAGTTCCTGCGCAGTCTGCGCAAACCCTTCAGCGAGATCATGGAGCCGAAGTTTGAGTTTGCTGTGAAGTTCAATGCTCTCGAGCTGGACGACAGCGACCTGGCTCTGTTCGTGGCCACCATTATCCTGTGTGGAGGTGATTCGTCAGCCCCTAGTGGTTCTAGATGGAACTGCGGGAAGATTGTAACAGAGTTTACGTACATAATAAAATTGGTTTATGTGTGTTTACTTGCGTCTAGATCGTCCAGGTCTCATGAACGTCCACCAGGTGGAGGAGATCCAGGACAACATCCTCCAGGCCCTCAACCAGCACCTGCAGCTCAATCATCCCGACGCCAGCTTCATCTTCCCCAAACTGCTGCAGAAGCTCGCAGACCTGCGGCAGCTGGTGACGGAGAACGCGCAGCTGGTGCAGAAGATCAAGAAGACGGAGTCCGAGACGTCGCTGCACCCGCTGCTGCAGGAGATCTACAAGGACATGTACTGAGCCGAACCATTCCAGGCACGATCACTGTGACCTTCAGCTCTCAGGCGGAGCTGTTCTTTTTTATGAATCGGATGATTTGTTGCTGATGAAATCGGCGCAAACTGAACTCTAAACCGGACCGGGTCACCTGTGGCGGGGCGATGAGGTTGTGCGGATCAAAGAGACGTCAGCGAAACACAATATTGTGCTGTTAGCTGTTCAAACACAACGGCCTCAATATCCGCCTCGATTATTTGCTGTAAACGACTTCAAATCGCAGCAGTGCATTCCTATTCATGACGGGGGCGACGATGCAGTGTTTTTTAAGGCTACGTTTACACGACAACAATGTAGTCAAAAATGGAAAAGTTTTTCCCTTGCGTTTTTAAAAAGTTTCACGTATACACAGCAATGTTTTCAA